AAGAACATGGGACTTCAGGACTTGCCTTCCGACTGAGCGACCGATCCCATTTCGGGACCAAGTGAGTCCCTCACAGGAATTTTCACGCGCTGCGCGAATAACTCCAACTATGATGGAACAGAAACCCCACAACTGTTTTGAAAGCCTCAAAACCGACTCGAAGGGAGGAAAACTCGGTTGGTGTCTACTGTTTACTACCAACCTCCAAACTCGATCGTCACAGACAACAATTCCAAGTAAAGCTAAGCTTGGTGTGCGTCKCTCCTTGAAAGATACCAAAAGTGTCGAGTCATAACAAAGGGATCTCATTGCCAGATCATTAGGTCGCAAAGGAGTACAATTTGAAGCTTACTCACGATTCAAGAACGAGCTCAAGCTGGAAGAACCGCCGCAGATTTAGGTCACCTCCAACCCGAATATATTTATCAACCAACCAATCGCCATGGCGAACGGGAACAGCGACGGCAAACGCGCAAATTCAGGTGGTGATGGCTCGAAGAAGAAGAAAAAGAACAAGGGCGCRAAGAAATCCGTTCCTTTTACTCCCGTGGAACGAATGGAAGACATGGCCTTAACCTCGCGCGTAACCGAAGCTATGAGTCCACACCTGAACGGGCTGACCGACAAGACGCTGACAGAATTCATCGTTCACTTAACGGAAACGCAGTTGAAAAAGGGGGGAGCCGCGGCGGTTGTCTGGCAGGAAGGGTACAATCTGGGAACGCATCTATTGCTAGAGGAGTCGCAAAAACTGAAACAACGAATGTCCGAAAACGGGGCACCCGACCTGCCTCTGAGTCTGTGTAAAAGCCTGCTAGAGTGGGTCAACGGTCAATCGCCGAGGATCCAGCGATGGGCAAAGAAACAGCGCCAAAAAGCCGAGGCGCAACGGCAAGCAAGGGACGGGAACAAATTTAAGAGTACGGTGGAGGGAGCTTCTCACCCCATGTCGACAAACTTTCCGGGGCTTGCCAAACCCAATCTGCAAAATAGTGTCCCCCTCGAAAGYGGGTTTTACGAACACAACTCGAGCACGTCGAAAGATTCGAAAAAGCCCCCTCCGGTGGTTTCTTCTGGAGGTGGTGCCGTCGAGTCGAGTCGGCGCAGGGGAATTTCGAACCTGCCAGCGTGGATGACGAACAAAAGCGACAACAACGATGGCAATCTGAAGCGTCCGCGATCGGCTCCAACTCTGGAAGTTCACCAAATTTATACCGGTCGGGTCGAGCAGGTATTGGACTTTGGGATTCGCATTAGTTTGGACGATTTTAAAACCAACAATAATTCGGGCATGTGCTATAAGAACCAGCTTCCAAATAATTATGAACGTCGTGATTTTCGCAAGGGTCAATCGGTATGGGTCAAATTGATTTCAATGACAACAAGCAACAACGGAGACAAAAAACTCATTCTTTCCATCAAGGATGTCGACCAAAAGACKGGAAAAGATTTGATGCCCTTCCGCAGGACCGCTGCTATGGAATCATCGTTGTCGTCATCGGTGGACATCAATACCAAGACAGCAACAAAAGCATCCATGTCCTCCACTGCCGTCGTCCATCCCGGACTGGACGTTGACAAACTCCGAGCGCAGCAGCGAGATTCGAATCTTGCGGGTAGGGGGTTCCGACCGACCAAACAGGCCCTGACGGAGCACGAACTTTTTGAAGCACAGCAACTCATCAAATCCGGAGTCTTGCCCGTCGAGCAGTATCCCACGTTCGATCCGGAGCACGGAATGCTGGCGGTGGAAGAAACGGAAGAAGAGACSGAGGTGGAATTGGCCGAGACCGAACCAAACTTCCTTCGTGGGCAAACAAAAAGGAGCGGCCGAAGAGACCTCGAGCCTATCAAGATTGTCAAAAACCCGGATGGTTCGCTTCAGCGAGCCGCACTTCAACAAGGTACCATGGCGAAGGAACGACGGGAATTACGTCAGGCCCAGGCCAATCAATTGATCGATAGTATTCCCAAGGACTTGAATCGACCGTGGGAAGATCCTCTGCCAGAAGCGGGAGAACGCCATTTCGCGCAAGAATTGCGCAGTATCAACGTCATGTCGCAACTMGAGGGGGCGCCGGAATGGAAACAAAAGGCAGAAAACAAGACACTAAGCTATGGTATCATCTCCAACAAATCAATCAAAGAACAACGAGAGTCACTTCCTATTTACAGATTRAAAAATGAAYTGATATCCGCTGTTACCAAGAATCAAATACTAGTTGTGATTGGCGAGACCGGTAGTGGAAAGACGACACAAATGACCCAGTACCTCGATGAAATGGGAATTACGAAACGAGGCATGATCGGCTGTACACAACCTCGTCGTGTCGCTGCATGTTCTGTTGCCAAGCGTGTTGCAGAAGAATATKGGTGTGCTTTGGGTGAGCAGGTCGGTTACTCCATTCGATTCGAGGACGTCACATCGTCCGACACAATCATAAAGTACATGACAGATGGTATGCTCATGAGAGAATATCTGGCGGACAATGATTTGAAGCGATATTCTGCACTGATGCTCGATGAAGCTCATGAGCGGACCATCCACACCGATGTCCTTTTTGGCCTTTTGAAGGATTTGTGCCGCCGGAGGCCGGATTTGAAAATTATTGTGACTTCGGCAACACTCGATGCCGAAAAGTTCTCGACGTACTTTTTTATGTGCCCCATCTTTACGATTCCGGGTAGAACCTTTCCCGTCGAGATTTTATATACGAAAGAGCCCGAAAGCGATTACCTGGATGCGTGCTTGATCACAGTAATGCAAATCCATCTSTCGGAACCCGCAGGAGATATTCTGGTGTTTTTGACCGGTCAGGAAGAGATCGATACGTGCTGCGAGACTTTGTACACACGAATGCAAGCCTTGGGTGACCTGGCGCCCGAACTCATTATTCTTCCGGTTTATTCTGCATTGCCATCAGAAATGCAGTCGCGAATTTTCGAGCCGGCTCCCCCCGGATCCCGCAAATGTGTGGTAGCAACTAATATTGCCGAGGCATCKTTGACGATTGACGGGATTTACTATGTCGTAGATCCCGGGTTTTCGAAACAAAAAGCATTCAATCCTAAATTGGGAATGGATTCTTTGGTAGTAACTCCAATCAGCCAAGCGTCTGCAAGGCAGAGAGCTGGCCGTGCAGGAAGAACCGGCCCGGGCAAGTGCTATAGGTTGTACACCGAACACGCCTTCAAGACTGAAATGTTATCCACCAACATTCCAGAAATCCAAAGGACAAATCTCGGAAATGTTGTTTTGCAGCTGAAGGCAATGGGCATCAACGATTTGCTTGGATTTGACTTCATGGATCCACCACCAGTTGCAACCCTTGTGGGAGCTCTTGAAACGCTGTATGCGCTTGGTGCCCTAGACGAAGAAGGTTTGTTGTCGAGATTGGGAAGGAAAATGGCAGAATTTCCTCTCGAACCAAACCTATCCAAGATGCTGATTCTTTCGGTTGATCTGAGTTGTTCCGAGGAGATATTGACCATTACCGCCATGTTGAGTGTGGAAAATCCATTTTACAGACCAAAAGACAAACAGTCGCAAGCCGACATGAGAAAGGCCAAGTTCCACCAAGCAGAAGGTGATCATCTGACACTACTAGCAGTCTATCAGGGCTGGGAAGCAGCAAAGTTTTCAAACCCCTGGTGTTTCGAGAACTTCATTCAAGCCAGGAGCATGAGACGAGCACAGGATGTCAGAAAACAGCTGGTGACGATCATGGACCGGTATCGTTTGTTGTTGATMAGGGCGGGCAAAAATCACAAACTCATATGCAAGGCCATCACGGCTGGGTTCTTCACAAATRCTGCCAAGAARGATCCACAAGAAGGCTACCGGACGCTGGTGGATCAGAATCCGGTTTACATTCACCCGTCTTCCGCCCTTTTCAACAAGAATCCGGAGTACGTGATCTACCACGAATTGGTGTTGACCACGAAGGAATATATGAGAAACATAATGGTTATCGATGCCAAATGGCTGACCGAACTGGCTCCTAACTTCTACAAGCCCGCCGATCCAAACAAGATCACGAAACAGAAACGTAAAGAAAAGATCGAGCCACTTCACGACAGGTTCAATCCAAAGGATGCTTGGCGTCTTTCAAGACGAAAAGGGTAGATAGTATCACTCCAATTGACATTCATACCTTGAGAAAAATATTTGATACGGCAGCATTATTGTATTTTCGCTACTATTTACTACTAAATAATAATAATCGATTCTACTAGGCTACACGTACAGATATAGGTACGCAGTTGTTGAGTTTTGCAAATTTAGTCGAATCGAGGCAGGTGTTTGTTGATGTACTGCACACCGCACCCCATCACAGCTTCACCCGTTGTTGGATACGAATGGATATTCCTTCCRATGGCATACAGCCCAAGATTGTTCTTCATGGCAAGAGAGACCTCGTTCACCATTTCCCCAGCGCGGTCGGCCACGATTGTAGCTCCTAGAATTTCGTCCGTTCCCTTCTTCACAACGATCTTGCAAAAACCAACGTTCCTGTTTTCCAACAACGCCCGGTCGTTGTGTTCCAGGCCGGCCCTGTAGACCTCGCAATCGATTCCTTCTTTCCGGGCCTGCTCTTCGGACGATATTCCGACCGTGGCCAATTCGGGTTCCGTGTACGCAACGGCAGGGATCACAAGACTGCTGAGCTTCCAATCGTCATTGGCCATGCTATTTTGAACCGCCAGTTTCGCCATTTCTCCGGCCACGTGCGTCAATCTCGGAACGCCTGCACAGCAATCGCCGACGGCAAAGACGTTGGGATTGCTTACCGACCGTGCATAGTCATCGACGATGACGCCCTTTCCGACCTCAAACTCTACGCCGCCGGCCTCCAAACCGCAATCTTCGACGTTTGCAACCCGTCCGGCAGCAATTAGCAAGCATTCGCACTCCAATTCCTGCTYTCCAACCACCACCTTCATCAATGGGAGGCCTTCCTTTCCTTCGCTGACTGTTTCGACGCTATCAATCTTGGAGTTCGAGAGAAATGTAACACCATCCAGTTCGGTTTGGATGATCTCAGCCGCTTCAGGGTCGCCCGCCTTGGATTCGAAAAGGCGAGACGAGCGGTTCACTACCGTGACCTTTGTCCCCAGGAGAGAGAATGCTTGGGCCATTTCCAAAGCAACGACTCCTTTCCATCGATGACGAGATGCAGACGCCCAGCAAGACGAAGAACAAAAGTGAGATTCGGGGGCACAAAGCAATTCAGAAARCGTGCAAGTACACGTGCGGCATGAATGTTACGCACACGCACCTGCACCCAAGATGACCATTTTCGGTGGGAGCTCCTCCAGGTTGAAAAGCTGCTCGTTGGTCGTAAACGGAGCCTCCTTTAGCCCCGGGATCCCCTCCGGGATCCACGGCCTGCCGCCCGTTGCCAAGACGCAGGTCTTGAATTTCAGGGTCTGGCCATTGACCTCAACCGTGTTCGGGCCCGTCAGCCGCCCCCTCCCCTGGAAGACACGAGCTCCCGCGGCCTCCGTGCCTGGGTGGCCGTCCGCGGGGGCGATCGCGGCTCGCTTTTGCCGCAGCCGCGCCATCACCCTCGGAAAATCGACCGTGATGTCCCCGCCGACGTCGACTCCCAGCTCGGCTGCCCTTCGTATGTTCGACACGGCGCGTGCGCTCTGGATGAGCGCCTTGGAAGGGACGCAGCCCGAGTTAAGGCAGTCTCCCCCGGCCAGGTGTTCCGATACCATGGCCGATTTGCCACCCCGGCGCCCCGTTTGCTTGCTGCTGACCAGTCCCCCGGCKCCGGAGCCGATGGCGATGAGATCGTACTCGGGAGCCGGCGTTTCTTCCATGGAAGTTACGAAGCTGCGAGGATGGACCTCGTTCAAAAGTTTGGCGTTGTGCTCGTCGAGGGGCCAGATCCCAAGATCGTCTCGAGCCTCTTTGGCTTGATCCGGGTTGTTCTCTTCCCATTTCGAAGCGGACGACATTCTCTTTGTTGAAAATCTCGTGGACTGGTTTCTGAAGTTGAAGTGCTTGCTGTTGTTTTTGTTGCTGAATGCCACGATGGACCTGAATGCCACGATGGACCTGAATGCAGAATGCGAGTCAATCCAGAGGAGCAGTGACAGACTTTTCTTCAAATGCCTCATTCTTATTTCGTTGTTCGTGCGAACGATTGTTCGACACGAGTGAGAAAAGAGACCGGAAATGGTTTTTGGTTTTTGTTTTCCTTCCTCAATTTGGAAGAATACGGGTACCGATATGTACCGGTACAAGTATCTATTGCTACCGGTATGCTGTGTCTGTTCATCGAACGGCAGATGATTTTGCAGATTCTTAGAACCACTTCACAATTTCTTTTCTGTGCTTCAATCTTACTTGTACTACTAGCCAATATTGGGAGACACAATGGACACTGGAAAATGCAGTCAGAGCAGTTAAGAGTATCTATAAGATCAATCTCCAGGTMAGAGAAGGACCTTGCATTACAAGAATGCAATAGGTTGAGTTTCACTTCCTCTGCCTCAGTTGGTGCACTGCTAAATGTAAGGGATGAGCTCCAAGCAGGAATCACATGGTGGACACACAAGCAAAGTTGTTACTTGTCACAAAAAGAGAAAGATTGTATGAGCAGATTGTCATCAAAAGCTTCAAGTGCTGAYAAACTGATTGAGGCATTTGATCAACAAAATGATGTTAACTAGTACTACCACTACTATCTGTATGTAGCTAACATATTCTCCACTGGTGGAGGGCTTTTGTTGGGAATGCAAGCAAGAGAGAGAACAATGGTGGACAAAGAGGTTTACCTGAATCGTATCCCACTGAACATGACTGATTGGTGTGACGCACAGTCATACACAAGGTTCAAGGCAATGCATCAATCAAACCATGTCAATGTCAGTGGCTGTCTGCTACTACTGATCTTCTTTTTGTTCTTTGCGAGTAATGAGGAGACGAGGAGGATGGTGCAAATGTTTCCAGAATTTTGTTGCTGTGATACAACTTTTGGCACTAACAGAGAGAAAAAGAGCTATTTACATTGGCATTCTTGGATGGAAATAATATGACATTCAATRATGGCGGAAGGGCATTTGTTTCAGTAGTAGTAGTACATCACAACGTAAATGTGCAAACTGTACACATATTGGACCAGAGGAAGTAATAACAAGGAAAAACATGTCCAACTCAAATTTTAAAATTTTTGGATTCCAGTCTAGATCTAGTCAGTTTTGAATGAGGGTCTGAGGGATGTTAAAAAATGACTAGACATAGTCAATCTTTATGCCATGTTTTGTCCATCTATCAAATCTAATCAATCTAACATAGATTTGGTCATTCCCGTAAATCTAGATGGTCTAAAAGTCTAAACGGTCTACTTTAGACTTTTTGGTTTAAYGGGAATCATTAAAAACAGGGTCCCAACGGATATTTTTTTAGGCGCTCTTCTACTTTTATGGAATCTGGAATCTCAACAGAATTGGTGGTGACTAAGACTGGAAAAGCATGCCCGCAGGTAATAATTAAAACATGAAATTTTTAACATCAAAAATAATTCTCCATACTGGTACTTGTACTCATAAATTTCTTAAATMAAAAATTTGAAATCCTTGCCTTATCCTAAATATTGGACCATACTTTCCTTCCAGCAAACAAAAGAGACACAATGGGTGTCATTGATCATACCCTTGTTTGCATATACTGGGCAACCAAGCATAGAGATTGCTTGAAGGATGAATGGGATGGAAAACAAAAGACACCAGAGGAGAGACACAGAAGGGACAGAAGAAGAACACCATGCATAGCAATTTGTAGGTATGCCAACTCCCCCTTTGTTTACCTCTACAACTCAGGGGATGACCAAGCACTTCTAAACTGTTGTGGAGTAGACCACAAGGTCCTCTGGGATCTCCTTGAGCTCTTTGTTCCATCTTTCAACAGATACTCTGACAATAAGAACAATGAGATTGTTCTTCTTCCTTCCACTATGAGTGGAAAAAAGAAGGGAAAGCCAAGAGAGGCAGATGCTACTACTTGTTGTCTTGGACTAGTAGTAGTGCTGCTCTTCTGGTACAGCAGGACTAGAGGAGGATCTGTTGCAAGGGGAATAGCTACTACGGCCTTTGGTCTACTAACGTCAACAGTGATGTACAAATGGCTCAAGTTCTCCATGAGGATCATTCTATCAGTGCTTCATAACCATCCACTTGCCATGGTCTGTCTGCTAAGTGAGCAAGAAATCAATGAGTATGTTAGAGCTCTAAAATTCGAAATTCGTGGATTTGGTGAAAGTACAATTTAACGTACGTACCGTACGTACTTCATACGTATTGTTTCTCATCTCATTCACCATCTACCGTTCAGTACGATGCTACAAATGACGTATTCGAGACTWAAAAAGTACAGGTCATAAGGAAATCAGTCTCTCTTCTCAACCGAATACCGTACGGTACGATACGGTCAAACAAGAACCGCGTGCTATCACCGTGTCCTGCAGTATCCTGTGCTTGTTGACACGCTCTCATACTTGTGGCCAATTAGCTTCGTTTTAGGTTGTGGAATTTGACATCTTCCCATCCTTMACATCACTAAGTTATACCCTACAAAATACAAGTACGACATTTTAGTATTTTGTTTTCAACAAATACAGAACGATTCAGTACGTACTCGTCCTTCTTAATTCCTTCAATTGGGCATCGTCACACAAATTRATCTCCGACAACCTCGTTGCATTCCAACTACCTTGCACCCAGAACAAAAACGAAGAGAAGAACATGAAGGCCAAATCTACATGCATCGCCGCCGCAGCAACAACCTGTGTCCTCGGCCACAGTGTCCTGATGAATACACCAGGGGCGGAAGCCTTTTCCCAAGCCAAAGCCCCGATCGCACGCGCATCCTCTCCCTACGCCGTAGCTGTTTCGACGTCGAGGATGGCGGCAGCCGTGGCGGACTCGGATGTCGGATGCTCTTGTCCCTGCCCGAAATGTCAAGCCGCTAAATCCCAATCCGCTGGATGCCCCTGTCCCAACTGCAAAGGCGCCGCAGCTGCATGCGATTGCCCGGATTGCTCTGGTGCGCAGCGTGGTCAGGGTTGTCCTTGCAGCGCATGCCAAGGGGCTTGATACCAGTGTTCGAGCTTCCGGCCATGGATGTTTCCTTCAGAGGACTTTGATTGTGTGGTCGGTACCGTTCGCAATCACGCGTTGAGCTCGGTCCGCATCGAATCAATTGTCTAACTATCTTTATACACACGAAAGAGGTGCTTCATCATAACGAAATCTTAAATTAAAAAAAGTGTGAAGACTTCGCATGCAGATTTGATTGTCAAGTGTGATACTGAGCAGAATCTTGGGATCYARTTTTTAAATACTGTTCTACGTATTTTTTTGTGGGTGAASACCACAGAAAACATGCAAAGGGCATGTTTCGTAAGATTCTTGCGGTTGTTGAATCTTCCAATTTCTCTTCTTTCCTTTCGCATCCTATTGCGCCCTCAACGCTGCGTCGTTCGTTGCAGTATGTCCCACGTTTAAACACTGTCAGGCAGCAACTTAAACGGAAGAGCTTCGCGGTTTCGTTCCTCCCCGATGAGCTTGTAGTCAATAGTCTTGGCGTTGAAGTCGACAAGCATCATTTGAAATTCTTCAGCAGAGACTACTTCTTGTTCCATCAATGCCTTCGTTAGGTGCTCAAAGAGGTCTCTGTTTTCGAGGAGGACAGTCTTGGCGATGATATAACTGTTGTTGACAAGACGCTCGGTCTCTTCTTCGACGTCCTTCATCTTGTCGGTTCCCCACAAAGTTCGTCCTTGCAACATGGCCAAACCCTGGAACTGAGGGCTTCCGCCGCTTTCGTCCAAGCAAAGACTTCCAACCTTTTCACTCATGCCCCATTCTGCCACCATGCGCTTTGCAATACTGGCAACTTGTTGGATATCGTTCGARGCTCCAGTGGTGACTCGATCTTCACCGTAAATAATTTCTTCGGCGAGACGTCCACCGAGAGCAACCGCAAGCTGGGATTCAAGGTATTGCTTGCTGTACATACCGGATTCSAGACGAGATTCTTGGGGAGCAAAGAAGGTCAATCCTCCAGCTCCATTGGACCGGGGGATGATCGAAATTTTCTGCACCTGGTCATAATCAGGAACAAGGGCTCCGACTACAGCATGCCCAGCCTCGTGGTAGGCCACCATTTCCTTGGACTTCATCTCCTGGTTTCCACCCTGCTTTTCAAGACCCACCATGAGGCGGTCCACAGCTCCGTCGATTTGCTCCCATCCAATAGTGCTCTTGTTGGCACGTGCAGCAGAGATAGCTGCTTCATTCATGAGGTTTTCCAATTGAGCTCCGGAATAACCAGGAGTACGGCGGGAAATAGCTTCCAGGTCAACATCAGGCTCGAGCGGCTTTCCTCGCGAGTGGACTCCCAAGATGCGGGTTCGACCCTTGAAGTCAGGAAGGTCCACGGTGACCTTMCGATCAAATCGTCCGGGACGCAAGAGAGCTTGATCCAAAATGTCGACACGGTTGGTAGCAGCAATAGTGATGATACCGGGATTTCCATCGAATCCATCCATCTCCACCAAAATTTGATTCACGGTCTGTTCACGTTCATCGTTTCCGCCGGCAAACCCAGCGCCACGTTGACGTCCAACAGCATCGATCTCATCGATAAAGATAATGCACGGAGCRTTCTTCTTTGCTTGTCCAAAGATATCGCGAACACGGGAGGCACCTACACCAACAAACATCTCCACAAACTCGGAACCACTAATGGAGATGAAGGGGACACCAGCTTCTCCAGCAACTGCTTTAGCCAAAAGAGTCTTACCAGTACCGGGAGGTCCATCCAGAATGACACCTCGGGGAATTCGGCAACCGTTGTTGGTGTACGCTTCCGGTTGTTTCAAGAAATCAACAACCTCGCACAATTCAAGCTTGGCACCATCACACCCGGCAACATCATCGAATGTCACACCGGTGTCTGGAACCATTTGGATCTCGGCCTTCGATTTTCCGAATCCCATGGGTCCTCCTGGGCCTCCGCCCATACCTCCCATGCCGCCCTCTCCTCCGGCCCGACGACTCAAGAAGAAGAGTCCGGCAAACAACGCCGCGGGGAAGATGAGCGATTGCGCGAGTTCTCCAAGACCACTAGCTTCTTGTTGCGGCAACACAGTAACATCAACCTAGGAAAGAGAAAAAAGAAATGGTTTGAAAACGTGAGCATCGGAAAATTACAAAGAGCGACCCATCAACTACATGAATCGCACGCCACTCCACCAGCAAAGCCGCACCTTGTGGTCTGTGAGCTGGGTAAGGAGACCGGGATCGTTGGGTAGAGCTTCGATCTTGAGTCGGGTTCCGTCTACATCGACTCCCAACAATTGGGTTCCATCGGCACTGAAGGTGACCTTCTCGATCTTGTCTGCATCCACGAGTTTCAAAAAGTCAGAGTATCGAACGTCGGATGGTCCGTACTGGCTCTTTTGAATAACAGGAACGTCAACATCGGCGGCCATCGATAAAGAACCGGTGGATTGGTACTTGAAGTTGGTACGGACGGGTGTGTAGGGAGAGAAGGCTGCTGCTTGCTCACCCATCAAAAGGGCCACAACGGCGGTCGTTGCGAACTTCATGATTGTTGTGTTTTTTTCAATTTACTATGTGTAGCTGTTCAGTAGAAGTTTCCAACACCTGATGAATCGATTTGGGAGCTTCGGGTTAAAGTTCAATCGTGCCGACAGCTCTCTTAGTCACCTTGAATGGTTGTGGTATAGAGTAGATTTTATGGAAGTTATGTATTTAAGAAGAGCGGGYAGGTGACAGATAGTTATTGCTGATGAAAGGAGTCGCTGTGACTGAATCACCACCGTATTGAACGATGATGATGATCAAAGATCGACACGCAGCAATGCCGTATGAGTCGTACGGTACACATTCTGTAAAACACAAGCGTGGGTTCCCAAGTTGACAGAAAACAACATGTGTGTGTGAGTGAGTGAGTGAGTGAGTCGAATGTTGCGGTGTCGAACCGAAAACCTGCCCCTGCCAGAAATTTCTTTTTCGACTCACTGGATCAAAAGGTTGTTTTGGGAATACTTTTTGTCGTGTGGAGCCCGTGCTGACTGAACGGAGCCTCACGTCGTCGCGCGCATTCTCGTTCACAGCCTTGTGATTGGGTCATTTTTTGTTGTGACGCGTCAGCGGTGTCTGTGTTCCTTTGGTTTGTTGACGATGATTCATTAGATCTCGTCATTACAATTCTTACATGTACAGTTCGTACACGAGATGCAATCATCTCTTCTCGTGAACAGCAGGATTGCACCCTCAATACTCGACTGCTTTTGACAGCTCTCTTAGTCATCCTTGGTTTGGAAAAACAGGCAAGACAAGAACAGGACAGCAGCATCTGCAACAGAGAAGAAAGATTTTGGTATCTCTGCCGATTAATTCTCTGCAATTGTATTGACATAAAATAGCAACCACCAAACGCAAAACAAAAAGTTAAATTAAATACACAATGAAGTTCGCATCAACAGCCGTATTGTCTCTGCTTCTGGCAGAGAAAGTAAACGCCTTCTCTCCTTTCACACCWGTCACATCCACAAAGAATAGCTACAGATCCTCATCGACGCTGTCCATGGCGCTCGATGTTGACGTAGACGCTGTCTCCGCTCCACCRTCAGTCTCTACACCAGCTCCCGCTGTAGAAATGGTTGTGAAGAACCCCAACGGAGGACCTACAGATGTCAGATATTCCGAATTYTTGAGACTTGTCGATGCSGACAAGATCGAGAAGGTTACCTTCTCTGCCGACGGAACACAATTGTTGGGAGTCGATGTTGACGGAACCCGACTCAAGCTCCCTTCGCTTCCAAATGATCCCGACCTTCTCCAGCAATTGACCGCCCACAAGGTAYGAATAGCGAACTCAATACGTTTCAATCCTTTTGCCCTCCGCAACGAAGTGTTTGGAATTCCTTGAAATATCTCACCCACACAATTGCCYCTTGCCACGAAATATTTTACAGGTCGACGTTACCGTCCTCCCTCAGCAGGAAGCTAGTGGACTTGGAGATCTCGCCCAGTCCCTTATCTTCCCTGCAGCCCTTTTCGCTGGTCTCTTCTTTTTGAGCCGAGGAAGCCAGCAGGGTGGCATGCCCGGTGGGGGCCCCGCAGGAATGGGAGGCATGGGCGGATTCGGAAAATCCAAGGCCGAAATTCAGATGGTTCCAGACACTGGTGTCACCTTTGACGATGTCGCTGGATGTGACGGAGCAAAGCTTGAATTGGCTGAGGTCGTCGATTTYTTGAAGCAACCTGAAGCCTACACCAAGAACGGCTGCCGTATCCCCCGTGGTGTTATCCTTGACGGACCTCCTGGAACCGGTAAGACCCTCCTCGCCAAGGCTGTTGCTGGAGAGGCGGGTGTTCCGTTCATCTCCATCAGTGGTTCTGAATTCGTTGAGATGTTCGTCGGTGTTGGAGCCTCTCGAGTCCGTGATATTTTCGGACAAGCCAAGAAGAACGCCCCTTGCATTATCTTCATCGATGAAATTGATGCCGTCGGTCGCCAACGTGGAGGTGGCCAAGGAGGAGGTAATGACGAACGTGAACAAACAATTAACCAGATCCTTGTTGAGATGGATGGTTTTGACGGTAACCCMGGAATTATTACCATTGCCGCCACCAATCGTATCGATATCCTYGATCAAGCTTTGCTTCGACCTGGTCGTTTCGATCGAAAGGTCACTGTCGATCTCCCTGACTTYAAGGGACGCACACGAATCCTTGGTGTSCACTCCCGTGGCAAGCCTTTGGAACCCGATGTTGACCTCGAAGCCATCTCTCGTCGAACACCAGGATACTCTGGAGCTCAGCTCGAGAACCTCATGAACGAAGCCGCCATTTCGGCCGCTCGCCAAGAGAAGTCCTCTATTGGATGGGATGAAATTGACCGTGCCGTCGATCGTTTGATGGTTGGTCTGGAAAAGAAGGGTGGAAACCCTGAARCCAAATCCAAAGAAATGGTAGCCTATCACGAGGCCGGACACGCTGTCGTTGGAGCTTTGGTTCCCGATTACGATCAAGTCCAAAAGATCTCCATCATCCCTCGTTCCAACGGAGCAGGTGGTTTGACTTTCTTCGCCCCACAAGAAGGACGATTGGAATCTGGCATGTACAGCATCCAATACTTCGAATCGCAATTAGCTGTTGCCTTGGGAGGACGTCTGGCAGAAGAGATCATCTACGGAGAAGATCGTGTCACAACCGGTGCTTCCAATGATATTCAACAAGTTGCYAATATTGCCAAGCAAATGGTCACTCAATGGGGAATGAGTGACAAGGTTGGTTCCGTTGTTATCGATGAAGGTGGTATGTCTGCTATGCAAATGATGATGATGGGGGGTAGTGGCTCTCTCTGGGGTGATGTTAAGTTGAAGGAAGTCGAAGAAGAAGTCGAGCGATTGGTGAACAACAGTTACTTGTTGGCGAAGAAGATTCTTCTCGAAAACAGGGAYCTTTTCGAAGAATTGACAGCAGCACTTATGGAACGAGAGGTCGTTTCGGCAGAAGAATTCCAAATGATGCTTTACGAGAACAACTCGAAGGTTGTTGACTACAAACTCATCGGACAAGAGCGAAACCGAGAGTCACTGCCCTTCCAAACACTTCCAAACGCCTACTAAATAAATTCTACACACACTCATCCACCAACCATTGAAATAATAGCACTCAAGAAAATAAAAATCATTTTTGAATTAATCTGACAATAGTTATATGGTAGATGGTAGATGATATATAGTTGCCTTTCTACAGCTTCTTTTATTTACCCGAAGTGAAGATGCTGAATGCGCATTCATGAATCATGATGTCAACAATAATTATGGGGTTTCATAGAACACAGTGTGGSTATGTTATTTTGCRGTTGTGGCGGTCCTTCAAACCATACGAGTGTGGTGGCATGTTATACACATCTGCTTCTCGGCGATTCTGATCGAACACGTGTACTACTTGCTACGGTGCCGACTACTCGTGAGGCAAGTTTTTTGCTAGTTCTTCCGTCCTCTTGTCACAGCATAGCATTTGCCAGACAGGCTTTCAGCCCCGAGATGACCGGGTGTTCATCCGAAAAGTACGGTTCGAGGGAGCGCAGAACTTGCTGGAGCTCCTGAACAGATCGATGCGGATCCGGAACCAGAAAGAGACGCAGTTTGGCCATCTTGTACCGCAAGTGCTGGTATCTCAAAAATGTGCTAGTGSAACCAAAATCGATCGATGTAGTGAGAGGACTAGTTGGTCTAGGCCCTGACGATGACTCAGCTCCCAGGAGTTCTTCGGCGATGTTAAGGGCAGCCCATGCAGTTTGTTGCTCCCGTTCCGGATCATTTCTCAGCATTGGAAGTTTTTCAATGTAATGTTGCAACAGCTGATCTCCCGCTTCTTGAACGTACCATGACTCCGTGTAGCAAAGTTTTTTGAGGTTTTGGAAGGTCTTCTTCAATTTCGTTGGATTGCTTTCTATAGAAATTTTATCATTGCCCATTTCCTCTTCCGACTCCCGCAACTGTCGGAGCGTAGATTCAAAGTCGGTTTTGTTGCACCTCGTACAGCGATAGGCAGGCTGGATACTCGGACCGACGGCCCTGTCTGAGCGAGTCACGAAAGAACATGGCGGCGGTGACAATTGATTGCAACAGTCCATGCACCGAATGGCCATGGTATTGCAATCGTCTTGTGCGTTGCTGGTATTGTTGCACGCTTCGCAGTTGCAGACAAAACAGTAATCCTCTTCCAGTCGTTTCTGCCGCACATGAGATGGGCACGAGGTATCCGTGTAGGAAATGCATATTTCTTGCTGCGACGGTATGTCCYGAAAGGCCGTCACGTATAGAGAAGGAAGCCTTCCMGGCCGCAACAAAAATGTTTGGAGTGCATTTGGTCGACAGGAATGGTTCATAAAACTTGGAATGCCATAAAGACCAATTCCAATTCGTTCAAAGTCTTCTTCGTAGGTTATGCTGAAACCGTTGACTTTGATTCGATGAACCATACCAATGAGGTGCTCCATTGACGGTCTATATTGAGAAGAGARTGAGGACTCYGAGCATTGCAACATTCCCATCGCCGTGGCGATAACTCCTTGTGTATGATACTTGCTTGCCATYAATTTGTCATCGCTGAGATTCATTTCGTTGTCTTCTAGATTGTCAGAAGGTCCACGCTTTGGCTTGCTCTGCAGTTCGCAAACCTGGTCCCAAACMAACGCATCTTTGTTGCTATTTTGGCTTTTTTGTTGTTGTTCTGTTCTTTGTTCTGTGATCAWTATTCTGTAGAGGAGAATCGCCGTCGGAAGGATGCGTGGAGGCCCGCGCCCGCTGGGACTTTGCAGCATACCGCAGGCATCACGTTCTTCTCGTTCTAGTCCGATGCGGGAGGCAATCCGACGACAGGCGTCGGAACAAAACAAAAGACGATATAGYGGATGGTTCGGGCTTCGATCAAACGAGTAGGGTTGAAGTAAGCGACCGAAACAAAGGGCACAGCGGCTCGTTCGATACTCTCCCAGCAGCACGGGGGGGATAAGTGGATCCCAGAAGTCTTGTTTCTTGTCGGGATCGCCGATCCGTTCTCCCTTTCGTATCCCTTTTTCAGACCCAGACGACGAGGACGACAAAGCCACTAGACACTTTCCCCTGCCTTCGCGGTATTGGACCACAAATTTCTTGTTCACCGGACGAGGGGTAGTAGTCGTCGTGGTCGTCGTCAATGTTCTCTCTCTTCTACCRCCGGTACCGATGTCATTGGACTTTTCTTTGCGGGCGGCAGACCACCTTCGACAGTCTTCCTTATGAAGAGGAAAATGGTTCCGCTGACACTCGGAATTGTGGTACCACGCCCTGTGGCACCTCGAACACCGCTTGAGCTTTTTTCCGGTCGCTCTGGGGGGAAGCAGACAATAGCTGCAGCAGCGACTTTCGGTGTTTTTGGTATGGTTCTTGTCGCTCATCTAATCATTATTCTACCAGGATCTGCAAGCTCACTGCCATTCGGTCTTATAAGTCGGCCGCTGTTGAATGTCGCTTTCTTTTGTTGACTGTCAGAAGAATAATTCTACCAAATGCGATAAAAAATGATGCGATGCAGATCATGTTTTGGGTTGATCTCCGCATACGGTACGTACCAGTACCAGGTACTCGTACTTGGTACAGTAATTGCGAACTGTTGGTTGTTGATACGACGCAATCGAATGAGTCGATTAMGTCGATTTTGTTGAATATTCAATATTCTCTCTATATCAATCGGATGAGTCAACCATTCTTCGCTTCTTCTGTGTCAACGCTGCAKATATTCAATTCGCGCGCCTGCCTGCTCGGTCGGTGGTGCAGTCGGAAAATAACCTTATGACGAGAAACTGAGTCGTCGAACAAAACAGTTGTTCATTCTCGAACTGTTCAAGCTCTCGTTCACTTGTTTCCCTGAGCTCACAGCAAGCAGAAACTGTTACGGTACGCCTTCTCTCGTCATTTGACCACCGACACCGAACGCGTCGAACCCAGTGGCAAGCACAGGAACCATGGCACCATTGCAACGAGAYAATGATACGATAAGCAGATGTGGATCCGCTGCGAAGCTCGAAACAAAGACCACCCCGCTCACGAACGAGGCCACCAACTCAGCCGAAAGCACCAGGAAACCAGCGGAGGAAGGATTCGATGTGTCTTCTTTTCCAGCAATGCCGTGGATGAGCRCCATCATGTGGCCTCTGATGCTCACTGTCCCGCTAGTTCTGAGCACATCCGGGTCTCCACTGCACTATAGCAATGTCTTCCCCGAATCGTGGTATRTCATCGAGGACTCGATGGCAGAAAACRTTTCTTCCCCAAAACCGCTGGGATTGTGTCTGGGCTTGATCGCGGTCGCTGTGGGCCAGCTTCTGTGTTTGTTTGTCTTCTATTTCTTCAAGTATGGTTACATGTCGCCGAAAGGAGAAGAACCTTTATCGATTCAAACACGGGGAGCGCGAAAATATGAATACCTAGAGGGGCTCACAACCCACTTGTCACAACCAGAGGGATTTGTTTTGTTGGGGGGATACCTCAGCGGAACGTGGATGTTTCRACTGATGCCCGCAGCTTATTATTCCTTTGAAGGGGGGATTGAATGGSCCAAGGTGTTTTTGTGCTTAGTGATCCAGGATGGAATTCAATTTGTTATGCACCTGTTGGAACACAATGTTTCCCCAGCGTTTTACAAATACTCGCACAAACCGCACCATAGGTTTACCAATCCGCGTCTTTTTGATGCCTTCAATGGATCYATGCTCGATACCATCTTTATGATTCTGGTACCACTTTATGCAACGGCAAACCTGGTCGACTGCAACGTGTGGTCCTACATGGCGTTTGGGAGCTTGTACGCCAACTGGTTGACGCTGATTCATTCCGAATACACATTTCCATGGGACGGYCTGTTCCATTCCGTAGGCTTYGGAACCTCGGGGGACCATCACGTCCATCATGCGTTTTTCAAATACAACTATGGTCACTTGTTCACGTGGTTCGATCGAGTGTGGGGAACCTACCGACACCCTGCCGARTACGCGCCCAAACAATTTAACGAGCTTAGGTGAAGTAGACGAAATATTACYGAGAACGGAACAGGTAGCGATGGCTTTCTTCGTTCGAAAAASTCTTGGTATGATATTTGTYTGTATGTTTCCGGGATAGATGTTGTGGGTGAGGGATCCTCCTGAGGGTCCACAGATAGTGTAACCGTAGTTTTGTGCAACAAAATAAATCGTAAAGGTTTGAAAGACTAACGAGGTGTTTTTGAAGTGATAATTGTTYGGAATGAAATATTCCTCGTTTTGATGACAACTATCATTCGAGGCATTGGAAGCATTWGTAGGATTTGCGATGATATTTAACTACCATAAAATGCCTAGATTTCGATGTTTCTTTTGCGAAGCACAGCGAACCACGAAGGCTTTTGACCTATTTTTGTTKCCGGCAGAAAAAGTACAGCTAGGAAAGCATCAAATGTATAGCGGTTGCATAGGTATCTGATGCATTCTTCCGTTCACGACGTCCTGGGACGATCATCATTTACTATTTTACCACGCCGGGCTTGCTACCAGGCAATACTCTGGCAATAGGAATGGTAACTTGCTGGCGCTCTAAACACAGCATTCATTCACGACAC